GGGCACCATTGAACCCGTTCTGGCTGAACCACTCCGCATCAGCATCGGTAAAACCAGTAGCCGTATTGGGCGGAACATAGGGTTTGTGTTTCCAAACCACATTCATCCCGCGCACAATCACTACCCGATTTTTATCGTCTACCAGCCACCTGCCATCGCGCCGCAGCTGCTGCGCCTGGGCACTCAAACCAGATAGGCTCAGCACAGCTAAGGTCAGCATGGCAAAAAGTACTTTGAACTTTCGCCAATTAATATCTCTCATATCATTACTCCTTTAGATATAAATTTCTTTACAAAGCGCAGCCGCTGAGGGAAATAAGAAAACCCTCAGCACTTGTAGAACGCTTGTGTCATTTAGTCGACCTATCCAAACCATGGATAGACCAGCAAGAATGTCTGCAATGCATCGCCCTCGCACACGACGCTTTACACCGTGTTGATGCAAAAAAGACTATCGAGCAGGATATATTTTACTTGCAAATACAACGCACTTCATTGCATAAAGCAAGATAATAATTGCATTCAACCCCAGCACGCAAACCGCTACAACAAAGAAGGGACCCAAGGCCCCTTCTTTATTTCTCACATAAAAACGCACCTATCAAGAGGCTGTTTTTTCCTCTACCGCTGCAGCGGCAACAGGTTCAGGCCGATCCACCAGCTCAACAAAAGCCATAGGCGCGTTATCACCTACACGAAAGCCCATTTTCAAGATACGGGTGTAGCCACCCGGACGGGTTTTGTAGCGTGGGCCCAACTCATCAAAGAGTTTTTTAACGCTATCTTGGTCGCGCAGACGCGCAAAAGCCAAGCGGCGATTCGCTACTGTAGATTGTTTAGCCAGAGTGATCATGGGCTCGACCACACGACGCAGCTCTTTGGCCTTTGGCAATGTGGTTTTGATGGCCTCATGGGTGATGAGTGAATTCATCATATTGCGTAGCATCGCTTGGCGGTGCTCGCTGGTGCGATTGAGTTTTCGCAGTCCATTTCCGTGACGCATAGTGCTTTGTCCTTTCTTTATCAATAAAGCCAGCCGGATCAGGTACTGGCTCTTGCACTGGGTGAAGTTGAGG